TTGATCAGCGGTTGTCTCGCGGCTGTCTCGCGGGATTGTCACGCGGTTGACCTGTAGCTGTGCCCAAGAAAAGCAAGGGCAGGAGTCTGCCGGCGACCTTTCGCCAGGAGCGATGCGCCTCGCGTGACATTCGGGCGCGCCCCCCCCCCCCCCCCCACCACCACCACCACCACTTCTCCCTCCCATGGGCCCTGGGCCCAACAATCCCCGTAGAGGAAGGCATCTCTGGGGCGATCGGAGCACCCGAATCCACCCGGTCGCCGTCAAGATGCCCGAGATACATTCTAAGACAGTTCCAGAACGACTCGAACGCGCCCGATAAACCTCAGCGGGGCGGAACGGAACGGTCTCTGATAACGAGCTGCGCGCGCGCGGCTACGCGCCCTTTCGGGCTCAGCGGGAATTGGCCGAACCGTCTCGTCAGGGGGCGCCCGCGGGCTCGACGCCCGCCAGGCATCCAGTCGTGGGCTCGCCAGGCCCACCAGTCGCAGCTCATGCCTTTGAGTCTCTCGTTCCAGCTCTGCAATCGGGATCGGCGCTCCTCTGTCCAGCAGGGCACGCGGTGCTGCTCCTTCAAGTTGCGTGCCTCCGTTGTCACGCGCTGCACCAAATCTACCCATGTCTCCACGCCCCCGCCCTGCTTGTACACGCGCCCGTCCCAGCGTAGCCCGGGCCATTTTGAGCTGTGCCCCATTCAATTTTGAGTCTCGTTCCGCTGTCGCTACCCAGCTGCCGCAGCGACGCGGCGCTGTCGGGGCCACCACGGAATGGAAAAGCTTCATCTGAAGATCGACCGGCACTGCTTTGTCCGCCAGTTCTTGCCTAAAGGTGCCAAACTTAGTACGCGCCATCTTCGGCCCGTGCGTCAGCTCCGCGTCGTGGGCGGCCAGCAACGAAAGCGCCCTGCCTAAATGCATGTTGGGTTCCGCTGGTTCCATTGCTTCGATCTTCGCCCCCATCTGAAACCGCAAATCTAACCGCGCTGTCATCACCAATGCTGTTGCGCTGTGTGTTCGCCTTGTCGGGGTATAGCTACATGCAGACTTTCGCGCCCCCTCGCTTCGCGTCCGCATTCACCCCCTTGAGCTGCGGTAGGGGGCGGCCGGCAAAAAAATGTCACATGCAAGCCTCAAACACACTAAAACGGGATATCCTGTGTAACCGAGCACTTTCTGGCACCCCCAGTGTGTTTCACCTTGCGGATCGCGCCCCCCCAGCGCACCCTTGAAAACAACCGCACTTATGATATCGCCTTGCTTCGCCCCCTTTAAGATGTCAAGGTCGCGGCCCGTCGCGTCGCAGTTGGCGCGCGCGCAGCATGCATGTGTAGACTGACGGTGCTCCGTGAGCCACCGACGACCCCCTAATGCTCGAATGAAAAATGGAATCGGAAGCCTTATAATCATCCAGCGTCGCAACCCACAGCGGCATGTTGTACTCATTGCATATCTTTGCTGATACTGTGACTGCAAATAAATGGTCACCACAATTGAAACCTGGTCTGAAACCAGCTTGGTCGACAGACCGCTCTGCAACAAGCTGGCCATTGGTTATTCCTCACAATGCCCTGTTGAAAAAGTGATGCAATATTGGAATAATGCACAGTGGTCTGTAGTTCCCCGGTAGGCGTTCGCCCCCTCTCTTGAAGTATATTCTGATTGAGGATGCCTTCCACTAGGCTGGCACGGCGGCCCCCAGGCCCAATGCAGCCGTGGAGACATCTGCGACCACCTGCATCGACAACTCGCTCCATTAATACATGAGTTCAGCCACCACGCCGTTTTCACCTGCAGTCTTGCCCGAGCGCATGTTCTCCCAGTTGGCGTCGCACCTCCTCCAAGGCGCAGCAACTGCGGCACGCTCGCAACTATCATCACATTGAAATACGTCGCTTTTGCCACTGTACAGGGACTCCAAACATGCAGCAACTATTTCAGCTATATCGCGTGCTTGCGTCTGCTCTTTGCCCCCAGCGTGCATGGCCGACAATATCCAAGACTTCTCTCCAGTTGCGTATACCTTGGATCTGCTGCAAATCTTCGAACTGTTTCACAGCTTTGGTTATCCTGGCGCTCTTCCGCGACTTGGCCATTGCACGGATTTCTTTCCAAATGGGTTTACTTACATTGTTCGCGTTGCTTTTGCTTCCCCTCTGTCTTGCTGACCGCCGCTGCGCAATCAAAGCATGCAGCTGTCCCCCTGCAGTCTCATTTTCTCGAGCCTGGAACTGTTCTTTGTTTTCGCCGCAGGCGTCCACAACATCAAGAAGTGCACTTTCAATATGACGGCATCTATCTTCGATCTCGGAACACGTCTGGCTGGAAAGGTCGATCGCTGGCGGGGGCGCCAACTGCGCATCGAGCTGGTTGTGGCGCCCCTCTTCGTCTCTCGGACTCCATCTCCGGCAATCTCGCATGTGAGACCGCCGTTCCTTGCGCGCGCCCCCTGCCGGCTGAAAATTCCACTTCAAAGTGACCTCGAAAGCAGGATAGTCTTGCCCAAGAATCACATCGTCGCTGGCCACGGCGTCATCGATGAGACGCGCCCGCCGCGCGCCCAACAAGCAGTCGCCCCATTGACGTTTGATGCCGTCGTTCTGGTGCGTCCATAATCCCTTGTGTTCCACCGCATTTGGTCGCCCAGCTAACGAATGTCCCCACTCGCTCCTGCAGCCCACGCCGCAACTTCCAATGATGTTTTCGTCGTCTCCAGCGCTGCACGTGCCAACTCTATCCCGCAGCGCGTTTGCCACGAGTGTACCTTTTTGGCGTCACCACGCAAGAACACCGGATCCATACCTGCATGTATGCGCGAAGTTCCCGTCGCAACGCCTGTCCGGGTTGTCGGTGATGCGTCCTTGGGATTGGCAGCTAAGTAGTTCGTTCCTAGGGGGCTGAAGGGATCCTGCAGGGAAGTCTCCATCCACGCGCGCGCATGGCCCCCTGCCACCCCCAGTGGACCGAGATTGCAATGAACTTGAAAGTAACAGATCAAAAGAACGTCCTACCTCATTGCGCGAATATCACAGAAACTGTTGTGTAACCGTTTTCCCAAGGCCTCCTCGTTTCTCCGGATCAGAAGCCTGAGTGGACAGTCCTGGACTGCGTGACCATGTAGATGCTGAGCTCGTTATGGTACTGTTGGCAGCTTGGCTCTGTCAGCCTGTGCCGCCGTCGCGGCGTCACTCGCTCTCTTCGGCAAGTCAGGCGTTCGCCTTCTCCCGCCACTTCCGCGTGGACTCTTCCGCCGCCGCTTGCCGCTTCCATCGCCTTCCCAGTTTTAGTAGTATGCCAATCTCCATGCCTATCGTGCCACCCAATCTTCCTCTCCTTCCCCTCTCCGTCTTTGATCACCACCATCCACTTCGGCCATATGATTTGCACATTGCTTGTTTTGTGGTCGGGGTGTTTGGACACGCGGTACTTTGTATAGCCCATCCGTTTTCCCTGGTCCTTCTGCTCGTTGGTCAGGTTGTTCGGGAAGAACACCTCGCTGAACGCGTTTTCGTCGTCGTTCCATTTGTCACGCACCTTCTTCCAGAGACTAACCTTCGATTGAATGGAAGTGAACTCGATGACGCCGAACTTCGTGGAGCCGGCCTTGGTCAGCACAACTGCGTCCGACCTTTCGCCCACAATCTGGTTGAGCAAGTTTTTCAGATCATCCACCGCCTGCTCTGCTGAACCACTCCCATCAAGGCCAAAGGCGACCACCTGTTTATCCCGTATCAGCTTCTCCGCATCTGCCTTCCCCCCCCCTCCGTCACAGTACGCTGCCATGCGCCGCTCATGGGGGGCTCACTGCAAATCCCTCCCTTCCTGATCTCCTCCATTTCCTTCCTCATCGCCTTCTGGTCCTTCTCGATTGATGCGTCCTTGGCCTTCATCCCCTCAATGTCTGATTTGATCTTTGTAACTTCCCCTATTGCCTTTCCTGCAGTGTCACTGGCAATCTGTGCAAGATCGACTGCCTTTTGCCATGTCGTCTTTCATGCTCTTCATCATGTCGCATATGTTATCCCGCTTTCCCATGGGTTCGAATATTTGATCGAGCTTCTGTTCCTGGGACAGATTCGCTTTGTGTTTTTGGCATATGGGGGGCCTCCTGTCTCCATGATCTCACGTCCGGACATACCTACACACAACTCTGCTCAACAGCGCACGCGAATGCAAAAACTGAAGCCGGACGTTTATTTGAGCCGGATGTTTAGTTGAACCGGATGTTCACTTGAGCTGGATGTTTACTTGATCCGATAAGCCTCAAGGGCACCTAAAATCACGTCAACACGGCCCAAGAAGCTTCCGAGACGCCCTAGGAGGGTTCAAGCCGAGCCCCATGAGGGCCTCGAGATTTGTCAATGCTTTGTTTGTGCGTTTGTTTTTTTCCGGGCCTCTTTGAACCCAAATGCTACCCGAAAAGCCTCCCAGACTGGCCCAAGAGGTGCCCAAAAGAGCCCAGACACAACCCAATAATGGCGCCCAACGGCCCAGAAGATGCCCAAATACGGCACAAGAGGTCGCCAAGAGAACCCCACCCACTTGCTGAATAACGGTACTTCAAAACATTGCGATGGTTACATTCGTTATCCGCCACCGTGCCTCGAGGCACGAAGTGGACTTTTCTCCAGGCTCTCATGTGCTCTCTGATTTCTGTAAAAAGGACTCTGGCATTCTACTATTTAAAAGACCTGGGGCCCCACATTCCAAAATTTCCCAGGCGCTCTCGAGTCCGGAGGAGGAGGGAAGGAGGGGGAGGAGGTGGACGATGTGGAGGAGGGGACCGTCCGCCTTCTGCGGCAGAGGCGGCGGCTGCAGCGGCAGCGGCGGGAAGAGAGAGAGAGAGAGAGGGCAGAGGCGGGATCGGGAGCAGCGGAAGGCGCGGGGAGGAGCGGAAGCCACCACTGCAGCAGTGACACGACAGCGAGCAGCAGGCAGCAAGAGCAGGAGCGGGCATGAGGGAGCAGAAAGGGAGCAAGGCCCGCAGCAGACGTAGCCGCTCGCGGTCCTGGGGCCCCTCGCGCCAGCGCCCACGTTCCCCCACTGCGTGGCGTGGCACAGCAGTCCCTCCAGGAGATCCTCCTGCAATGGATGATTATGTACGTCGCGCGGGCGTCGCATGCGCGCGGTCAAATCCAGCAGGCACCTGCCCAAGAATCCGCCAGCCCCCTTGCGGGGCCATCAGGCTGTAGGGCGAATGTTTGCTGATCCCTGCACCAGTTGCACTTTCCAGTTTCCAATGTGATGGCTCAACTTTCTGCTTCCTACTGTTAATTGTTACTGAACGCGCAGGGGGGGAGCCGAAAAGCGCAAATTTACAACGCCCCTCTGGTGTTCGCAGACTTCCTGGGGGGGCGTGGGACACGTAAAAACCTGACCGAACAAGAACGGGAAGTGTCGCTTTAGTCCACCAAGCATGTGGAAAATGCTCTGTTGTTGTTATGCCGCGCAGGTATGCCGTGGCGCGCGTGTCGGCGTGCGTGCGGGGTGTGTTTTGCTGTGCTCATGTGTGTTCTGCCGTGCTCCTGTTCTGCCGTGCTTCTGTGCTCTGCCGTGCCTCTGTGTGCTCTGTGTGTTCTGCCGTGTTCCTGTATCTGCCGTGCGTATCGTCGGTGGTCGTTTTGGCAGAGCTTCTGGGCGCACACGGCAGAAACAGATCAGGAGCACGGCAGAATAGGCCCCAAGAGCGAAGGAGCACGGCAGAGAAAGACAAGGAACACGGCAGAATAGACCCCAAGAGCAAATGAGTACGGCAGAATACACCCCAAAAGCTAAGGAGCACGGCAGAAAATGACCAGGAGCACGGCAGAATAGACCTCAAGAGCTACGGAGCAGGCAGAAAAAGACCAGGAGCACGGCAGATTAGGCCCCAAGAGCGAAGGAGCACGGCAGAAAAAGACCAGGAGCACGGCAGAATAGACCCCAGGAGCTAAGGAGCAGGGCTGGATATGCATCAAGTGCGAAGGAGTACGGCAGAGAAAGACCAGGAGCTCGGCAGGATAGACCCCAAAAGCTAAGGAGCACGGCAGATAATGACCAGGAGCACGGCAGAATAGGCCCCAAGAGCGAAGGAGCACGGCAGAACGAAAACAGAAGCACGCCAGCGTGAGTAGACCCCGAGATCTGAAAGAGTGCGGGAAAATAGACCCCAAGAGCGAAGGAGCAAACCAGAAAAAGACGAGGAGCACAGCATAATAGAACTAAAGAGACAAGGAACACGGCAGAATATGCCCCAAGTGCGAAGGAGCACGGCAGAAACAAAAAAAGCAGAAGTACGGCAGACAAAGACCAGGAGCACAGCAGAATAGGCCCCATGAACGAAGGAGCACGGCAGAGAACAAAAAAAGAAAAACGGCAGAATAGACCCCACGAGCTGAGGAACACGGCAGAAGAAGACCAGGAGCACTGCAGAATAGACCCCAAGAGCTAAGGAGCACGGCATAATAGGCCCCAAGAGCGGAAAAGACGCCAGAAAAAAACCAGGAGCACGGCAGAATATGCCCCAAGAACTAAGGACGACGGCAGAAAAAGACCGAAACACTGCAGAAAAAGCCCGAGGAGCCAAGGAGTACGACAAAGAAGACCAGGAGCACGGCAGAATAGGCCCGACGAGCGAAGGAGCACGGCAGAAAAAAAAGACGAGGAGCACGACAGAATAGAACCCAAGAGACAAGGAACACGGCAGAAGATGCCCCAAGTGCGAAGAAGCACGGCAGAAACTTACCAGGACCACGGCAGAATAGACCCCCAGAGCGCAGGGGCACGGCAGAAAAAGACCAGGACCACGGCAGAATAGACACCAGAGCTAAGGAGCACGGCAGAAAAAAAAACCAGGAGCACGGCAGAGTAGGCCCCATGAGCGAAGGAGCACGGCAGAAAAAAAAACAAAGAGCACAGCCGAATAGACCCGAAGAGCTGAGAAGCACGGCAGAAGAGGCCCCAAGAGCGAAGGAGCATGACAGAACAAAAACAGGAACACGGCAGAATAGACCCCAAGAGCTGAGGAGCACGGCAGAATCGGCGCCAGGAAAGAAGGACCATTGCAAAACACGACCAGTGACCAGGAGCACGGCAGAATAGACCCCGTGAGCTAAGGAGCACGCCAAGATAGATGCACGAATACAGCATAATACGCCCCAAGGAAGAAGGAGTATGCAAGAAAAGCGCAAGGAGCACGGCAGAATAAACCCCGAAAGCGAAGGAGCACGGCAGAATATGCCCCAAGAGCTAAGGAGCACGGCAGAAAATGACCAGGAGCACGGCATCATAAGCCCCCAAGACCAAAGGATTGTGACAGAAAATGGCCAGGAGCATGGCAGAATAGGCCCGTCGAGCGAAGGAGCACGGCACAAAAAAAAACAACGAGCATTGCAGAATAGACCCCGTGAGCGAAGGAGCACGGCAGAACTGCTCATTCTTTGCCTTGCTCTTTTTTCGCCGACCATGCTCCGCCCGATTTTTGTTTGAGGATGTATGCAGCGAGAGCGCGATGTTCAACATGCGAGGTATTAAAACCGCCACTCCAATATATCATTTTTGTTAACATGTCTCAGGCGAGACACCCGGTTTTGAACTTCTGTCGAATTCGCGGCTTCCCATGTTTAAGGGATGTCTCAGGCGAAACGCTCATTTTTGATGAAAGCCATGTTGTGAACATTTCATTTGTGCAAGGCTGTCTCAGACGAAATCGTCATTTTGGATCGTCTCGAGGGCGCTCCTGAGGGTCAAATTTGGGTTTGTTTGGGGCCTGTGGGGGCCTTCTTGATGCCTTACAAAACCGTTACAGTCCGATGTTACACACATTCATTCTTCAGGATGTCCCTAGCGAAATCGTCACGTTTAGATGACTGGCTTAAACCATCTAGAAGCCTTTTCAGGAGCGATTCCAAGACGATGTTAAAACAGCAGTTTTCAACATGATGTTGTTCGATTTGTTATTTCCCAACCATCCTGTGGTGTTGGGTCCTCGTTGTGAAGAGACAGCGCCCGCTCCCGCTCCCGCTCCCGCTCCTCCTCCCCCTCCTCCCTCCTCCCTCCTCCCACCATCATCATCGTCATCATCCTCCATTTCGGCACACCCCTCACACGTTTCGTGGCCCCATAGGGAGCCCCACCGAAGGCCCCAATGCTGCCGCCCGCATGCGTCCCGCACGCCCAATTCGGCACACCCCTCACATGTTTCGTGGCCCCATAGGGAGCCCCACCGAAGGCCCCAGTGCTGCCGCCCGCATGCGTCCCGCACACCCAATTCGGCACACCCCTCACACGCTTCGTGGCCCCATAGGGAGCCCCACCGAAGGCCCCAGTGCTGCCGCCCGCATGCGTCCCGCACACCCAATTCGGCACACCCCTCACACGTTTCGTGGCCCCATAGGGAGCCCCACCGAAGGCCCCAGTGCTGCCGCCCGCATGCGTCCCGCACACCCAATTCGGCACACCCCTCACACGTTTCGTGGCCCCATAGGGAGCCCCACCGAAGGCCCCAGTGCTGCCGCCCGCATGCGTCCCGCACACCCAATTCGGCACACCCCTCACACGTTTCGTGGCCCCATAGGGAGCCCCACCGAAGGCCCCAGTGCTGCCGCCCGCATGCGTCCCGCACACCCAATTCGGCACACCCCTCACACGTTTCGTGGCCCCATAGGGAGCCCCACCGAAGGCCCCAGTGCTGCCGCCCGCATGCGTCCCGCACACCCAATTCGGCACACCCCTCACACGTTTCGTGGCCCCATAGGGAGCCCCACCGAAGGCCCCAGTGCTGCCGCCCGCATGCGTCCCGCACACCCAATTCGGCACACCCCTCACACGTTTCGCGCCCCATCAGCCCGCATGCGTCCGGGCACACCCCTCACACGTTTCGTGGCCCCATAGGAGCCCCACCGAAGGCCCCAGTGCTGCCGCCCGCATGCGTCACGCACACCCAATTCGGCACACCCCTCACACGTTTCGTGGCCCCATAGGGAGCTCCACCGAAGGCCCCAGTGGCGGCGCTCACATGCGCATGCGTCCCGCACACCCATTTCGGCACATCCCTGACAGGTTTCGTGGCCCCATCATCCACCGGAGGCCCCAGTGGCGGCGCTCACATGCGTCACCCACACCCACCCAATTCGGCACACCCCTCACACGTTTCGTGGCCCCATAGGGAGCTCCACCGAAGGCCCCAGCGGCCGCGCTCACATGCGTCCCCGCCACCCATCCCGGCACGCCCCTCACAACAACAGGTTTCGTGGCCCCATAGGGAGCTCCACCGAAGGCCCCAGTGGCACCGCCCGCATGCGTCACCACCCGCACCCAATTCGGCACACCCCTCACACGTTTCGTGGCCCCATAGGGAGCTGCACCGAAGGCCCCAGTGGCGGCGCTCACATGCGTCCCCGCCACACATCCCAGTACACCCCTCACGCGCTTCGTGGCCCCATAGGGAGCTCCACCGAAGGCCCCAGTAGCGGCGCTTACATGCGTCTCCGCCACCCATCCCGGCCCCCCCCCGCAGCAGCATCATGTTTCGGGGACCCATAGGGAGCTCCACTGGAGGCCCCAGTGGCGGCCCTCACATGCGTTTCCGCCACCCATGTCGGCACGCCCCGCGCGTGTTTCATGTCCCCATAGGGAGCTTCGCCGAATGCCCCAGTGGCACCCATCTCGGCACACCCCTCACACGTTCCGTAGTCCTATGGGGAGTTCCACTGAAGATGAAACCCGCAGCTGCGGTACTGACAAGTGCATATGGTTGGGTTCTTCGCCGGGCTATTTTTTTGAAGATGTCCCTAGCGAAATCACTATGTTTAGCAACCTTAAGGGCGCTATGGGAGCCATGTTGTGGCCTTCTTTTGCTTCCTGATGCCCTCCTAAAATCATTACGATGCGATGTCGCACGCATCAATTGTTTGAGGATGTCCCTACCGAAATCAACATTTTTTGAAGGCTGCCTTGGGCCGTCTGGAAGCCTTTTCAGAAGCAATGTCGAAACTATGTAAGAACAACAGTTTTCAAGTCGATGCTGGTGTATGTTTTCACTTTTTGAGGATGTCCCTAGCGAAATCGCTATTTTCGGAAGTCCCCCAATCGTTCTGACAGCC